TATGTATGTATACGTGCATGTGTGTGTATGTGTACGTGCATGTGTGTGTATGTGTACGTACATGTGTGTGTATGAATGTGTACGGCATGTGTGTGTATGTATGTGTACGTGCATGTGTGTGTATGTATGTGTACGTGCATGTTTGTGTATGTATGTGTACGTGCATGTGTGTATATGTATGTGTACGTGCATGTGTGTGTATGTATGTGTACGTGCATGTGTGTGTATGTATGTGTACGTGCATGTGTGTGTATGTATGTGTACGTGCATGTGTGTGTATGTATGTGTACGTGCATGTGTGTGTATGTATGTGTACGTGCATGTGTGTGTATGTATGTGTACGTGCATGTGTGTGTGTGTATGTGTACGTGCATGTGTGTGTATGTATGTGTACGTGCATGTGTGTGTATGTATGTGTACGTGCATGTGTGTGTATGTATGTGTACGTGCATGTGTGTGTATGTATGTGTACGTGCATGTGTGTGTATGTATGTGTACGTGCATGTGTGTGTATGTATGTGTACGTGCATGTGTGTGTATGTATGTGTACGTGCATGTGTGCGCGTAAGTATGCTATATACACATACAGACACACACACACACGCATATATACAGATATGCTCACGCACTCCCTCTCTCTCTCTCTTTCACACACACAAGGCAAAGAGCATATATAATCTCCGCTAACAAGAGCACCTGCCACCGCGTAGGCATGGCAAGCGAGTGCCGAACGAAGCGGAGTAAATAGTAAAGAGGACGAAAATTGCACCTGTTTGGGAACACAACCAGATGCAGTTTTGTGGCCACTTAAATGGCTGTATTTTTGTTGCAAGTCAGCTGTATTTTATGTTTTTTTTCCAAGTCCGATATTTCTTTTTTTTTGTTGTTGGTAGGCTTGGTACATGATGTCAAATTGTAATAATTTTGAATGATACGTTTATGATTTATTGAATTTAATTCGAATTCTGATCTGACTTTCAGCATGCTCCACAGACTAAAAGATGACATATTTTTTTTAACCACATCTACCGCAAATATAATGATTTGATAAAACAACAGGTTCAAAACCCCAGAAGGATGAAAAATGAAACTCTGCCGACATAACACCTCCATGATGCCCATAAGCCCATGTGGAGCTTAGAGTACACAGGCCTCACCTCATGCTGGATCCCCGCCAACATACCGGGGATGTCTGTCTTCTCTGAACACGGCCAATCTTACGTGTGGAAATATATCCCGTTAATTGCTTGTGTACCATTATTAGTTAGAGTGGATAGGAATAGCTCACACAGTCTTACACACGCACAGGTACAGGTACGCACTTACATACTCACACACGCTGCATACATAATTGTATAATCGTTAATTGCTTGTGTGTCATATTAGAATGTGAAGGAATAACTGATAAGCACACACACACACACAAACACACACACACACAAACACACACACACACACACACACACTAACACAACCGCACCCCACCCAGCACACACACACTTGAAGCTCCACACAAAAATATGAACGTAAGAAAAATCTCAGAAGGACAGACAATGTGAGGATTTAAATATATTTTTCCTCTTAATACATAATGTTGTTGCTGATGATAATGATGATGATAAGAATGACCTGGAAAAAACAATAATGCTTTGGAAAGAAAATAATAATATTGATATGAACAGTAATAATGATGACAACAAGAATATTAATTAGAATAATAATAACAGTAATGATAATGATAATAATAATGATGACTATATCAATAATCATGGTAATAACAGCAATAGCAATAATAATAATGATAATGATACTAACAACAATAATAATGATAATAATAATAAAATGATAATAATAGTAATAATAATAATGATAATAACAATAATAATAATAATAATCATAATAATAATATTGATAATAATGATGATAATGGTAGCAATTGTAATAACGATAATAATTACAATCATAAGAGGAATGATAATATTTATAATTATGATAATAGCACCAATAGAAATAGTGAATATTAGAATATTAGTATCAATAATAATACTGATGATAACAATTACGATAGTAATAACAATGATAATAACGATGATGATAATAATAATAATAATAGCAATAACAATGATAACAATGAACATACTACTACTACTTAATGATAATAATCAAATAATTATAGCAATAACGATAGCACAAATAATATAATAATAATAATGTAGAGTAATAATGATAATGATACTACTGTTACTGCTTATGATGATAATAACAATAATGACAACAACAGTAACAATGACAATAACAATGATGATAATAATGGTAGAAAAACCCACAATGCACAAAGTAGTCTGTGCATGGTGGTTTTTTCTTCCATTAATATTATAATTATTAGCAGCCTCATTGTTATTACAATTGTTACTGTTGTTGTCATTATTGTTATTTGTGCATTGTGTGTTTTTCTTCTATTAATATTATAATTATTATCAGCATCATTGATATTATCATT